TCTCTTCACATTTCTTATCAGCGGCCTATTTTAGGACCCGTCTTATTTATACAAACAGGATGAACAGCCTGTGTCTTTTTCTCCTCTCCTGTCACGTTTCATCTGCAGGTAAAATTATCCCTTTTTATTTCTGTAAAGCACGTCTGTGCTGCAACAGCTGTTATTGTCCTTTCTTCCTGTATAACGGCACTCTGATGCTGCGTTTTTAGTTTTACTTTCGTCTTTAATTTTATCATCTCCTAAATTACAATTATTTACACGTAGGAGGAAGTTAGGAATAGCTCATAAATGCACTGCTGAAACATATCCTCCTAATTTAGAGAGATGTTTCAGCAGTGCATATTATTGATATTTAATCCGCAGTTATCACGAGGAAGAACTGCTGACATTGTCAACCCGTTGATATCGTCATACGCAGTTCCCATTAATGTAACTAAATTAGTTGTATATCAGCAACAAATAGTACTGCTACTCCTTCTGGTGATACGGCTGCTACTACTATTGAGTTTAAATGAGAATATTAGTACATCATTTGTTATTATACCATATTTAAACACTGGGGGGCAGCGTAGCCAACAAAGCGACAATCTGCTATTTTAACCTGAGACCGTCCTATATAAAAGGAGATAAAAGTATATAATACAGATATGATAGATTTGACTTAAGATGAAATTAAATTAAAATTCACGAGAAGGAATTTTTTAAGAGCAATAAATACTGAATTATTAGTAAAATTCCATTATAAATAAATTCATCCTTCCATTTGTGCTCTAATGGCTGACATGTTTTCCTCAACAGTGAAACACTCCCTGAAATATTTCATCACTGCTTCCTCTGGGATCTCAGACTTCCCAGAATTTGTTGGTGCGGCTTTAGTTGATGGGGTTTTAGTGGGCTACTGCGACAGCAGCCTCAGGAGAGCTGAACCCAAACTGGACTGGATGCAGGAGTTAATAAAAAAAGATCCTCAGCACTTGGAGTGGTACACGCAGAAGTGCTCTGGGAATCAGCAGGTCTTCAGAGCCAATATTAATAGTTTGAAGAAGCGCTTAAACCAAACTGCAGGTACACTAATATCACCCTTTACCTAAAATGTTGCTCTTTTCATTCACACACACAGCGAGACTTACATCCTCCCATCATAATTTATTTCATTTTATTTGGAGGTTTTCATTTACACACCTAAAACACTCAGTCTACCACATAAGTAAAATTACAAGTAAGATATTTACTCTGTTCTAGTGACCAGAATAAATTACTGACCTAATTTAATTTGCTCTGTTAGAGGGATGGCAAGAAAAATATCTGCTATATACAAGGTCACTGTCACTGTGTACATCAACAGTAGCTGAAGTGAATGGTTACTTCCAAGGACAAGAATAATAAAGATGAGAATTTCTTTTCCTCTTATGATGCGGGTGTTGTTTTGATGATAAATATTGACGACTCGCAGCAGGATTTACCTTTCTGATCATCTTTAACCATCCACAACTTTACTGGCTCTGCATTCTCTCTCTCTCCCTGTCAGGTGTTCACATTTTTCAGAGGATGAATGGCTGTGAATGGGACGATGAGACTGATAAAATCACAGGCTTTAATCAGTATGGTTATGATGGGGAAGACTTCATAGCGTTGGACCTGCAGACACTAACATGGATTGCTCCTAAGCCACAGGCTGTCGTCACGAAACTGCAGTGGGATACTGAAAAACCCAGATTAGAGCACAACAAGAACTACTACATCAACAGGTGCCCCGACTGGCTGAAGAAGTATGTGAAATATGGGAGGAGCTTTCTGCAGAGAACAGGTAGAATTACATATGCTATTATATTTCGTTGCAAAAGCTTCTCTTTCTGTTTCTATTCTACAGCACCATTTCAAGGAAAATGAACCAGTGCATAGACAAGCATTTCATCAATGACTATCAGCTGTCCCAGATAAAGCCTCTCTCCCTATTTTGTTTTTATCTTTTCCCAGTTCTTCCCTCAGTTTCTCTCCTGCAGAGGACTCCCTCCTCTCTAGTCAGCTGCCATGCTACAGGTTTCTACCCAGAGAGAGCCATGATGTTCTGGCGGAGAGGTGAAGAGGAAATTCATGAGGGTGTGGAGCATGGAGAGATCCTTCCCAACCACGACGGGAGCTTCCAGATGAGCGTTGAGCTGAATGTTTCATCAATCAAGCCAGAGGACTGGAGGAGGTACGACTGTGTGTTTCAGCTCTCTGATGTTAAGGAAGACATCATCACCAAACTGGACAAGACAGCGATCCGGACAAACTGGGGTGAGAAAGGCTCAGGAATTAACTTCTGTATCTCAAAGTTTACAACACCATCATATTTAAAAAACAAACAAACTCTGAAACAAATGTCTGCATGAAATTCTTGAGTCAACAGAAATTCATTAGTGATGTCATTTTAATGTCAAGAAATTACAACTATATGTAATGTAAAATATTTTGCACAGTGTCAGACGAAACAATGGAGACATTAATTAGGATGAAAGGGAGTTTAATCTGCTAAAGTTTCTCAAATGTGCCAAATCTGATCGTAGGCATGAACCAATATAATAAACACCAAATATTGTACAACTTCATCCTATAACCATGTATAGAAGAATGGTGCTAAGGAGAAGTTTGATAACAAAAAAGCCAAAAATGCATAATTAAATCAGGCTGAAGCAGTATTTACAGTTTCTGCTTTTACATTGTAAACCATCCTAAACACAAATTTTCTTTCTTTATGATCCAAACTGAGATCTGGCCACTACAGATCTCATGAACCACACCATTAAAGAAGAAAATGTTCTTCTTAACCACATACAATGTTCAGAAGTGATGCATTAACACTGGAAACAGCAGCTTGGTTTGGCAGCAGTATGAATGATCTTACATTTTGGACCTTTTCAGTTTCTCCCTCAGTGTTTCCTGTTGGTCCTGTTGTTGGAGGTGTTGGAGGAGTTTTACTCCTCCTGGCAGTCTTTGGTTTCTTCATCTGGAGAAGAAACAACAATGGTGAGATTACAGCAGATTTTACTCCAATAATGAATTTGGAATTTGTGCATGTTGTAGTTATATGTACTTACATGATATTTTTGGTGATATTTTTAGTGAGTTATTTGATAATTTGGCTCTGCTAAACTCTGTCATGTTAATCATTTTGTTTTTCATTATTCTGCCTGTATTTCAGGGTTCGAGCTTACAAACAGTGAGTAATATTAATAAAATGCCGCAACTTGTTTTTACTTTGTTAGTAACTGATACTCTGTTTACTGTAACAGGAGACATTTCATTTTCTGTTCTTTGTTTGTCTTAGCAGGGGAGCAGTGACGGTGAGAAGAACACTGAGTTTCATCACATTTTCCCAGAAAGGGAAATATTTTCATTTGGAGAGTGCTG